GGTGCAGTGACTCACACGTAGTCCCAGCTGTTTGTGGGGGCTGAGGTGAGAGGATTACTTAAGCCCAGCAGGCTGATCATGGCTGTAGTAAGCCATGATCGTGCCACTGCACTCCAACCTGGGCAACAGAGCAAGACTCCGTCTCAAAGAAAAAACAAAAAAACAAAAACAAAAACAAAAAAGAACAGGAGAGAGGGAGAGGTATGACCTGGTCTCTGGATGACGATGTGTTGACTGGCTTATCTGAATACTATTGGCATATTGGAAGCTGGCAGGGAACTGGAGTCTACTACTCAGCAAGGAGCAGGAGTTGTGTGCCTGGCCCCTGTGGTATGAGGGGCTGTTTGGCTGGGAGGCTTCATCTGAGGGAGGAGAGTTGGGAGGAGGGACTCTCGGTTAGGCCATTTGAGGCTCCCCCTATTTCAGATGTCACAACATGACATAACACTGAATCTTAAATTTAGGTCTTACACCACAGTTGTTCCATGTATTTTGGATCTGGATACCAGAACTCAAATATATTTCAGTTTTAATCACATGTAACTGACACAGTGATATTACATAGCACACATAAAAATGCTACCATAACCCATGTTAGCTGGGAACGCTTCACAGTTACTTTTAAAAAGCTCTATGAACTCAGCAATCTCCAGTGTCTTCTCCTTTCTTCAGCATGATGAACAACTGCTAGAACTCCACCTACCAGCTGTAGTAACTGGGCGGCACAGAGGTGAACTTTCCAGCCTTGAGCACGACAGGATACTCCTTTCTGATTAGCTATTTCCTGCAGCATAGCTTTCTTCTCCTCTGGAACCATAAAAAACAAAAATATGTGTATTTCAGTGTTTAAAAAGGTAAATGATTTGTGTTCAAGCAGTGTAAATGCCATTATTTTAATAATAATTTTGTTATGTTTTTGAGACAATGGTACAATCTCGGCTCACCGCAACCTTTGCCTCCTAGGCTCAAACGATTCTCCCATTTCAGCCTCCCAAGTAGCTGGGACTACAGATGTGCGCCACCACGCTGGGCTCACTTTTGTGTTTTTTGTAGGGATGGGGTCTTGCTATGTTGACCAGGTTGGTCTTGAATTCCTGGGCTCAAGCAATTTGCCTGCCTTGGCCTCCCAAAGTTTTGGGATTACAGGCATGAACTGCCGTACCCGGCCATAAGAACTTCTTTCTTTGAGGTAATGGTTTCATGTAGGAGAGGTAAACCAAGAGGACTCCAGGCTGCTTACTCCCCTCCTTCCCCTCCACTAAGTGCTACCTCCTAAAGCAGGGCTGTCACTCAGAGAGAAGCTTGCCACATGTCAAGCCGGGGCCTCCCCCATCTCCAAGGCCCTGGCTCAAACATTTGGCCGGAAGACGTGGGCTGTAAAACAGATGCCTTCTAACTTCTTCCTGAAGGAAGTGAGTCCATTTGCAAGAGTGTGAAGAAGTTCAAACCTAAAGGTGCTCCTGAGAGCAGTGGAGGCTGTGGTGAAGGGAATTGCGGGAGATTTGTGGAACTAATGAAGATGTAGCCTAGACCTTGTGCAGGCTGGTTTGAAGGAAAGAACAAAGCATAAGAGGTGCTGGGATTACAAGAGGGAGCCTTTCCAAGGGCAGAACAACTTTATCAAATCAAGAAAGAACTCTTCTTTTTCTGTTTCGAACACT